TGAAATTGTCAAAAAAAAAAAAAAAGAATGGGTATTGTTGTGGTTTTAGGACATCTTTAATGAAAGGTTTTGATCTACTTCAAATGTTTACTGCTGTAATTGTATGGTTTTTATATAGGAACAAGACGTTGCAGACGCCGTTGAGAGATTGGAGAAGGCTGAGTTTCCACAGGACAGAATCGATGCTCTGGAACCCTTTTGCTTCATCTTTACTGTAATGAATGACATGCAAATGTTTCTTGAACATGTAGTTGATGTCATGAAATTAAAGGTAAACTGTCGAACTATAGAGCAAAGTGAATAATGTGCCAATGTGTTTTTATATATTGTCTATTTGTACCTTGTATTTGTCTGTTTTGCACAGTATGTATACTGTAAATTGACATTTACAATAAAAAGAAAAAACAATACATCAACTTGATGTTTTTCATTTACAAACTGGTCCCACAAAGTTGTGAGCATGAAATTGTCCAAAATGTCTTGAAAATAATTAAAAATAAGTTAATAAATAAAAATAGTAAAAAAAATAATTTCTTTCTCAAAGCTGAGTTTTGATTAAGTGATCAATTTATGTACATGTCTTTTCCCACATGATTTTTGGTTGTAGGTTATCCGTAAATGAATGTGGCATTTAAATGCCAGTGTTTCCCAAATGAAACAAGAGCTCTTGGTTTTGAATGATGTGTGTAATGTAGAGAAATGTGTTTAGAGTTTTGCAAAAAGTTTGATTTTCAAATACAAACAGAGCAAAGCATATAATGCCCTTGTATTTTTGCAGACATGGACTAAAGATTGGGTACATGAATAGTTTCACTGATTGAGCCTCAAATTCCACTTGTAGTGTGGCAATTTGTGTAGCAATTTGAAAAAAAAAAACTGCCAACAAAATGACAAATGACGGCTTAACACGACCAAAATGAGCGTGTCTACGCGTTCAAAAGAAACACGTAAAAAAAAAAATATCGCCGCGGTCACAATTCACGCGTTTCGTTTAAAGACTATTGGCCCCGATCGCGTTCCGTAGAGCAGACGTCGCTTGCAAGTGACGTCACTTGCAGAGGAAGCGCTCGTGTCTGAGAGTGCAAGTGACGTCACTTGCAGAGGAAGCGCTCGTGTCTGAGCGTGCAAGTCCGAGAGTGCAAGTGACGTCACTTGTCTGCAGCCAGACGCTATTGGCCTATTTCGTCCCTCACCTGGCATTTCCATAACAACACTTAACCAGTCGCCCATGTTTGCTATCATCAACTGAAACTTTACAACTCAGACAAACGAATAATTAAACTAAAATATAAATGCAAATATTTGCATTGATTGTAAAATTAAGTTAATGCTAAAATGTTAGTGTTTTAATGTTAAGATAATGTTCATGTTACTTCATGTAAATTCTAATCACTAATTAAAGATGTATACCACGAGTCTGTTTTCACCCGTTTTAATTTTAACATCAAAAACATGACAATTGATTCAATTGAATATGAGCTATAATTTATAAAGGCTATTCACATGCACAGAGATTGAATCCCAGGAGCTCTAATGCATCGACTTCAAATGATGAATGCAGCCAAGGAAAACGTGAAGAATGGAAAAGTGGATAATAACAGGTAAGACAAATAAAAGTATCCTAAACATTTACCTGTCAAACGTTGGTCAGGAGAAGGTGACTGGTTTTATTAAAAATAATTTATTTTAGGAAAAATATTGTTATAATTATTGTACTTAAGACTGATAGCATACAGAACAAATAACAAAAAAAAAAAAACATTGGAGAAACAAGCGAGTGACGATCAAATCATAGAATCAAATGCGGCTAAGCGAGTGACGTCATTCCTTATGTACGCGGTTTGTATCCATGGCAACGCTCAGCTGGGTAGCGTAGTGACAGTTAACGGTCCTTCTCAGACGCAGCCTTGTGTTTCCTCTGTCCGTCGTCTGTCTAAAAGGTATTTTTAATTATATTATTATAAATTAGTCACCATAACCACTGTCCATCTTCAAATTATATGAAAATGTTACCTTTTAAAACGTTTGCTGAAGTTGTCCGCAATGTACCGCTGATAACCGTTATATGCTAATATGAGTAGCAGCTACGAAGCTAACAGCTGAAAATGAGACAACATTTCACATATTGATAAAATCATAATGGAATATGTTCATTTTTGTTGTTTTAGGTAACGTTAGACGCCGAAGGGGGAGAGCCATCGGATTAATCCCACAGCTGACCGACAAACACACACACACACACAGCTGCCAGCGCATTTGAAGACACACACACACGGAAATGCCACCTTTACAATTGTTTTAAATAAATAATGTACTTTGTTCCTTACACCGCGTCTGTTTTCTTTGGTTAGCCAGAAGTAAAATAAAATAAAATGATATTCAGGGGACTAAACGCGAAAGTCCCATAAACGTCCCGGATGGCCGCTGGTGGTCCTGGGAACGTCCTCTTGAACGTCCGGAGGACGTCTTCGCGAATGTCCGCGGGACATCAAGCGGACTCCACATGGGGACGTTCGGGGGGACGTTCGCACAGGCCATTTAGGGGACGTCCTGGGGACCTTTTTTTGTTAGCTGGGTTGTATGCTAAAGACGATTCACCATCAGCAAAAACAGCGAGTCTATTACGTTCGGTCAAATCGCTCCAGCTCGTGAGTTTTAAGAGCAATCTTCCCTTTGATTATCTAATTTAGATTTTAGTAAAGACATGAACAGCTTAATAAAAAATATAAAATATTGTTTGTATCCATAACGTTTACTGATGGTCGCCGTGACGCCGCCAACAAACAGTGCAAGTTAGGAGATCGATCATTTGATTAGCTTTTTGGTTGCGCACCTAAATGGCCAAATGAATATACAGAACTATCAAAATGCCAAGTCGGTACGTGTACGTTTTGATAGTTTGTTTTTTCGTTTGAAACAAAAGAGACAAAATAACGAGAAACCACCCTTTTTTCGTTTGTCGTTTCAAACCAAAAACAAAGAAACCGTAAAAAAAGAGCCGTTTTCCAGTTTTTGGTTCTGAATCCAAAAACGAAAACGGCCCGATTTTGTTTTTTTTTTAAATTCCTTTACCATTTTTCCGTTTGAAGATCTACAGGTTGGCCACGTGACCCGGAAGTAATAGTAAATATGGCCTATCAAAATAAAAGCCAAGCTTTTAGAACGGTCATAATACGCTAACGTTATACCAGAGTCACGTTAGAAGAAGAAAAATCAATGAATAAATAGAAACCTGGGCCGGAATAAATATGTTAGCAACAGTAGTTTATTACAACTATTTAATATCATGCCTATCCAGACCAAGCGGCAACCTCCCCGTCTCTCTCTTGAAGCCAACACGGAAGTGAATTAAACTGCAATTTATCGAGTGGCCGCTCAAATCTGAATCTCCCCCATGTTAAAATGCCCAACTTTACAGCAGAAAAAAACATGTTTACAGTCTGGAGCAAAAAGTGGCTTTGGTCTATAGAGCTCATTTTTCCCTTCATGACAACTGTGAGGGGGGTAAATTTTTTTTACAACTCATCTGTTTAAATTATATTTAAGCCTTAAAGTTCTGCATACCCAGCTGGCATACGACCGACCTTCAACGTTGAAATATGGTTGAAATAATGTCAGTTGTTGTTTCAACATTGAAACAACGTTGATATAACGTTTAATGCTAAACGGTTGAAAAATGTTAAGAAAACACTTCTAAATCAACGTTGAAATTTGTACAAGATCTGTACGTTGGAACAACGTAATGTTTTCAACCACATACAACAGAAATCTGCCTTATAAAGTTTATGATCATTATTAGCATTTAATGATATTCTGATAATACAGCCTTGGCTGTGTTAAAATATAATTATTATCATTATAGACAACTCTCCGATAATTTCAACCTCAAGAGTGCAGCAGAAACTTTTTGCTTTGTGATTTTGTGTGTATTTACAATACTGTGTGCTTACCTAACAGTTTACCATGCTTATTATTTATTTTTTTAAATCATACACTATCATGAAAACACCATTTGACAAATTAATTAAATAAATACAGACTGCAAACTAAATATTCTATACACATTTCGCTACGTTACCACGCTGAAACTACTGTTATTGGTTGTTTCACCGGTTTACTTTGACCCTGATTGGTTAATCTTTCTGTCTTCCAGGAAACTGGCCAATGACAAAATGCGCGCCTATTTTAAGTTTGAAAATACGTCCGTTATTGTTTGAGTCGGTATGAGGTGAGCGTCTGCTCTGCTGATTATTACCCCGTCGGACACGGATTATTTTAAAAATTCTTGTTAAATTCTTATTTTGAGCGAATTTGAGTTGTGATATGTCAATGAAGGACAAAAGCTGGAATGTCAACAGAGGATGGGGTCGTAATGTTACGTGGTCTGTAAAAATACTGGCGAAATCACTAAAGGTAAGACAACATTTTTTATTCTTAACAGTCTAACGTGAACGTTAAACGTTATGTTCCTGTCCTTAATGTATGTCGTTACCACAGTTTCACTTTAGATATGTTAACAAATATCAATAAATGTTTAAAAGGTATTAACGTTCTGTTCTGTTCTGTTCTGTTGAAATCTGTTGAATAGAGTGTAAATTTAGTTTGTGGGTAACGCTATAAACTGATAATCACCCGTTAATGAAGATCATTATCTTCATTTTTTACTGTCTGTAGACAAGATTTTTACAAACTGGTAACGGACATAGGCCTAATGCAGCAGCCTGCGAATGAGTGTTTTTCTACTGCATCAGTGAAGCGCGCTAGAGATATTATTAAGTTTATTCATCTTACGTTACCATCTTACACTGCTGTGCGTTGTTGTTGTTGGTGGTTTGTGTTAGCTTAAATGCATGAGAGGTAGTTAGTCTCGGAATAAAGTGATAAAATCGTAATTTATTCGTTAGAAGTTCAAAACCTCTAAGAACACTGATAACTGCCAATGATTATATTTGTTTATATTTGTTTTAGGTTAAGCATTGGAATATGATTTTTTCGGGGGAAGAACACCCAAATAGAGACAAATCCACCAACTACAGTAAGTTTTTGTTTTGTTTCTTGTCAATTTTACACACTCTTTCGAAAACCTACACTGGGATTAATATAAAGTATAAAGTATGATTCTCATCATCAAAGAAAGACATTTACTGATAGAAAGTCTGAGTAACTTTTTGTACTTTTGTCTTTCTTCCTCTGACGTGCCGCAGTGAAAGGTCATGTCACCTACCTTCATCAGTCCTGTCTTTAATTCACTGGAAAACATTAAGGGAAAGACCCTCAGACATGTCATAACAGGATAAAGGCTGCAGGTAACATTATATTATGGCTTGATTTTGATGTACCAGTTGGCTTTTTTGTGTGCTTCCCTTTCTATGATACACATTTTTCTGATGGGATTGCCATGCTTTAAATATGCGTTTACATTTTAATCATGTAATAACCAACAGTCTCAAAGATGACAGTACTCTGTTCATGTTGTGTGAATGTGTTATAATGGCAAACGTTTGTAGTATTAAATACATTTTAAGATTGTTTATGGAATGAAAAAAAAATCCTGCTTTTTTAGGGCTTTTTTAGAGCTTTTCATTGAATCATTTCTTGTTTCCCCTTCCAGACTCACCAAGGATCCATATGATTACTGGCAATTTGGTGGAGGATTTTTCTTTAGCTGCTATCACTTCTGGTATGCATTCATTGACCTTTTATGATTGAATAACCATTTAAGTGAAATTACTGAACTTAAATATACAAGTTTGATAAAAATCATCATTAAAGAAGAAAATTTCAAATGGCATTTAGAGGCTTTTGCATCTGAACTCTTCATATATATATTTTAATTAATTGCTTTTCTCTTGAACTTTCAACGAATCCTGAAAAATTAATCGCGGTTCAAAGGGATAGTTCACTTTGAAATTAATTTTTGATATGTTTTATCTTACCTCAAGGGCATCCAAGATGGTGTCTTTGTTTCCAGAGTATTTTCAATTTTGACATTTTTAGGTCAAACCGTTCTTGTCTGTCAGTCGTGTAATGGAGATTTATGGGGCCCACCAGCATGCACAGAGAAGTCCAGATTAAACATGATTTAATGACTCGTAAATGTAAGTACACATTGATGGCCTAAGACACGAAACGAGCAGTTTGTGTGAGAAAACTAACAGTATTTATTTCGTTTTTACCTCTTGTAACCACAGCCACGTCCAACTGATCTGAAGGCACGGGCGCTTCGGTCTGCGCATGCGCCGGGAGTGATCTCTTGCGTGTGTACGTCATTAATTTTTTACACAGAGATTCGGAAGTTTTATTGCGATTTCCTATATATCTAAATATGTTTAGATCCCAGTGACAGTTAAAACTTCCGAAATCTCTGTGTAAACAATGAATCACTTCCGGCGCTTGCGCAGACCGATTATGCCTTCAGATCACTTGGACTTGGCTGTGGTTACAAGAGGTAAAAACGATATAGGCCTAAATACTGTTGGTTTTCTCACACAAACCGTTCGTTTCGTGTCTTAGGCCATCAATGTGTACTTACATTTATGAGTCATTAAATCATGTTTAATCTGGACTTCTTTGCATGCTCTTTGAGGTGGTGACCATAGACCTCCATTATATGACTGACAGACAAGAATGGTTTGACCTAAAAATGTCAAAATTGAAAATACTGTGGAAACAAAGACACCTACATCTTGGATGCCCTTGAGGTAAGATAAAACATATCAAAAATTAATTTCAAAGTGACCTTTAATATTAAGCAGCAATCAATTCCACCTTGGGGCTCTGAAGAACTGCTTGTTAATTATGGTTGATATTGTACATTTACATCTGAATACATAACATGCCTTGGATAGTGTTGTATACTTTTTCAACTCGACTGTTATTGAACAGTGTAAGTGAAAATCTTGTAAATAATTTTGTATTCAGTTTTAACTGTTTTTGCTTTTATTTATGAGCTACAGGATCGTACAGTGAGCAGACAAGAAGTGAAGAGGGAGCAAGAGGAAGCGATGGCATCGGAGCAGACCTCAAGCTGGGACTCTACTAGAGCAATGCAAAAGGCTGTCGCATTTTATTGAGATGCTAAGTTTTTCTACTGTTACTGTACACTTAAAATATTAAATGTATTTCATCTAAGTTTTACTGTAATTGAACAAAAACTGTCTTTTAAGTATTCCATTCAGATTTGTACTTTACTTTAACATTACTTTGAAAACACTGCAAGTTAAAGTTTTCAGATGTAGAAAGTATTTAGACTTTTTTGTTTTGTTTTCCAAAATAAAACTTGTTTTACAATCTTGAGCATGTGCTAACTCTTTATTAAATGTGTTTGTAATTAAGCCATTGCTGTCAGTCATTTGACATTAAACAATGTTTTAGTGTAGACTACAGTATGTACAGTTAATCACTAAATCAGTTAGCATTGTTATGATCGTGTATTCAAACTACGTTGTAATTTAATGTATAATTGTATTCTCCCATGTTGAAAGGTAAGACTGAAACAATATCACGATAGCAACGTTGATTCAATTTGCAAAACCGAAGCATAATTAAATGTTGGTTTAACTTCGACATACAACTTTTACTCACCAATATTGAAAGGAGAGATCGTGAAACAATGTCGCGACATCAACAGTGAAACAACATTCATGATGTCAACGGTGAAACAACGTTGCAAAATCAACGTTGATTAGATTTGCAAAATCGAAACATAATCCAATGTTAATCCAACCTTGGTCCCTGACGTTGTTTCACCGGTGAATCAACGTTAAAATGCCAGCTGGGTAATTAAGGGCGTGGCCACTTGAGTGACAGGTGGATTCTTGCCGCCGCTTTCACTGCTAGTCGTTTGTCTGCTGTCTGTTAACGTCACCCTCAGCTGTGTTTGTGCTTTCCCGGGATTATTTCATACAATTTAATACATGCATTATACCTTCGCCCGTGCACGCCGTTGGATTCCGTCGTGTCGAGTATGGAGAGAACGACCAGCGCCGTGTTTCCAGCTGTTTCCCTCGCACGCACTAATGGATGTCTGATGATTTCAGCGCTTTGAATGAGCGGATTTCTAGTTCATGTTCTTGAAGTTCTGAGGTAATATCTTTGGTTTGACCATCTGAGAAACTGAGAGGCGGCCTTGAATCACTGTCACATGCACAAGCTTAGAGCAATATTGTAAGTAATTAATACATTTTTAACTAGCAGAATAACAACCCAGACAGCAAACTGACATTGAATCAACGTGGAAACGACTTCTCTCATGACATTGAAACAACGTTGATTTGCTCATCGAATTAACGTTGAACCAACGTCAGACGCGGCATTCTTCAAAGCTAAATGAAATCGAAAATTGGTTTGCTTTCATAACGTTGAAACAACGCGTTGATTTCAAGTTGATTTTCCGTTAGTTTTGAAAGAATGACGCGTCTGACGTTGGTTCAACGTTAATTCGATGAGCAAAACAATGTCAGATCAACGTTGTTTCAATGTCATATTTCCACGTTGATTCAATGTCAGTTTGCTATCTGGGAATGCATCACGATGCACATAGTTGACTGCTTGTATGTTGTGAGAAATGTGTGTGATCTGTGTTAATGTATTTGTATACATGCTCTCAACTAATTGCCCCTTGTGTGAGATTAATAAAGTTGATAAAAAAGTAAAGTAAATAGTCTCACTTTTAGTTACGTCTTAACTATTATAATATTTCGAAGGGCAAAACATGAACTTTAACCATTGGCTTTACTTTTTCAATCAGCTGTCAATTCAGCGGCAGTAGCATAGCATTAGCACCTCAGCTCCACCCGCGTCACGCCTCTTTGCCCATTTTAATTTATCCGGTAGTGACGAGAGGTGACGCACTGTAGAAACAATGACAGATAACACAATAGATGATGGAGAAGTGAACTGTGCATGATGCATCACTACGCTGAACTTTATCTGAAAAAACTAGGCTATTTTAAAGTAGAATTCCATAAATTATATTCAATAAATATAAAACTTTAGGTGTTCTCAAGTGGTCTTGAATCAAATAATGATGGCAGTTGTTAAATATAGGTTATTCTGCTCATTACCAGCCTAGTAATTGCTGACAACATCTGGCCTTTATAATCAATCTGGAATGTAAACAAAACATTTCAGGGTAGTCCTACACATTTCAAAGAAGACTATTATACAATGAATATGAGGCGCTAGAAAAACAAAATTCATCAGGTGGTATCCAATGATAGTCCCTCCATGGGCCCAAACTTTTCTGTAGATTTTTCCATAGACAGCTTTTCAAAGCTGCCTTACCGCTTTCACGCAATCTGTTCTTCGGAGAAGCGCGTTCGCGCCCATGGTCACACCATTTACGCTTAAACATATTGTGCGTCTATGTCAGCTTAAACGCGAATGCATGTTTAAAATACATGTAAAGCTTTGGTATATTAAAGAATCCTCTGTGCAAATTAACAACACTATTTAATTATTATTTACTGCATAGCTACCGCATCTAACATTAGCTGATACGGTCAGGAATTTACGTCAATTTTAAAATATTTTTTTTTTTATGTTATTATTGCTTAAACCACCCTTGATTTAACCTAAGCCGAGTCATTTCCAGAAGTGGTCTAGATCATACAGCCGGAGCCGGTTTTTATGGTGAACATGAATCGGCCCAGTGTTTTACAGCCGTAACAAAAATGCATGTTCCAGAGCGAGCTGCGGGCCACAATCGGCCCGGTTAACACGTAGCCGCAGACGCCACGGGGCAGCCGAGCTCAGGCTGATTGTTCATGCTAGCTGGGACACAAAGTTGCGTAGGCTCAAGGTGTAGCTATGCGCTTGGTGTCGGCAGACTAAAATCTTTTTTTTTTTTTTTTAGAAAAATCCAGCAGATTCTTGTTCTAAATATCACAGACTGTGGTGATTTTCATGTTGATCTACTGTTTTATTATTTAATAATTGCCAAATCATGACCATACTGTATAGACTACATGATCAAATATGCCTAATGAGGAGAAAGAGCTCATTTTGGTGAGTAGGCTAATTTGTGAAGGCACAGTTATAATGGAAAGTTTTTATTACAGAACATAAGTTAATCTCCATGACAGTAGCTTGCACACAGCAGCAAACACAGTGCGACACCTACTGGTATGTTTTTGTAACCGTTTTGAACTGCCCTAGGTTTTAAACTTTGTTGGAGTGGACTGAGAACCTTCACATATGTCGTTTTTGATTGTATTATTAACAAACTACTATCACTATTAGTCTATTACCTAGCCTGATCAATACATTTCTATTGACACTGTATAGCGCGAGCGACGCTGTCCATTTAATGTGGAAACCACATTAAATATAAATTTAATTATATGTAGTAGCGCTAACAGCAACAAATCTGCACTACCCTTTTTTCGTTTGTCGTTTCAAACCAAAAACAAAAACCTTAAAAAAAGAGCCGTTTTCCAGTTTTTGAACTTTAACCCCGGCGTGGTCGATGCAGGTCGGCGCAGCAACAAAACCCTGCGCGTATTCCGCGTCCTGTCTGAAAGTCTCAAGCTGAATGTGTGAGTTGGCAGCCCTGCGGGGATGCATCGTCGGGAGCGTTCTGCCGCATGCACACAGTGCTTATACATGTGGGGATTGTTTACATCAGAGTAGGGATGGCTCGATACCACAATTTTGGCTTCGATACGATACCAGAACCTAATACCTCGGTATCGATACTAAATCGATACCACAGTCGGAAAAAAAAGTCTAAATTTAAGTGAATTGAAACAATTTGATTAAACACTGCTTGAAACTCTCAACTACCATATGTGCAAAAAAAAGTATCCAAAAAAAACAAACATCAAAATTCAAAAAAATAAACAAATTATGCGTAGGTAAAATTTTGATTTGGGGGAAAAAAACACTGATATTATACAATTAAAATAGGTTAATATCTATAATAATAGATTAACATAATAGAATAATGAAATGGCGTAAACCATTAGCTGTCATGCATCAACAGAGAATTATCAACATTTATTGCATTGATTCATCTTGGTTTGGTTACTGTTTTTGTTTGGGTTCATATTATGCATATAATGCATTGCAAAAAGTAAAGTTATGATGCTAAACATTTATTAGGATATTACATTTTTAGGTCATTTTATTACTGATTGATCTAGATTAATCAATGCTATATTGTTAGGCCAGGTTCCTTAATGAATGTTGACAAATGTAGCTTAATTGTAGGCTAATATTATTAATATTTATATTACTACCATCTCTCTCTCTCTCTCTATGGGTCGCCACAGCGGCAGTAATGCCATTCATTTTACTATCACTTTTATGCTTTATTAATTCAAATTAAATGAATATATTTGTTTGAAACTGCAAAAATGATGAGCTCATGAGACGGTAACTGAATTGGTTCTAGCGTGTCATGCAAGAAGATTTGAGCTTTCGTGTTTACCGTATCATATTTAATTGATAAGCTCGTATTTATGTGCGCTGTTCAGTGTTCAATAAAAGTCTAAAGTAAATAATTTGAATGATGAACTCACCAGTTGATCTCTTGAACAAGTCCGGATGAGCAACTGACGAGCGCTTTGGCAGATTTGATGTGTTGCATTCCATGGCAACACATTATTGAAAGCAAAGTTTGCAGAGTGGTGCATTGAGGTCTGTTTCTACACTATTCTCATTAATTTAGTAGGCAAAGTAATGCCTTATTTCACTCATACTGCTCTCTCTATTTGTTAATTTCGGGCGTGTAAAAATCCGAATGAGCTTCATTTCCACCGTGTTCCTTCGTTTGCCGGTTTTGCGTGACTCGCGTCAGTTTCGGTAGCGCACTGCCGCCTAGTGGATAACTTCGGAACAGCAGCTCATCAAATACCGAATTTAACAAAATGATATTGTACCGTTTGAAATTTATTATATACCGGTATTTTTGCAATACCGGTATACCGCGCATCCCTACATCAGAGTGCGCGCGTTTTTGCGCAGCACGCAGTGTTTGAGCGTTTGAAGGAAAATAAGCAGCTAATGCACGCTCTAAAAGTCTAAATTTAAATTTATTATTTTTCACGGTATTTTGAAGAGCCCGCGATAACAATATCGTGCATATTCATTACCGCGATTTATCGCATTACCGAATACCGGCACATGTCGTGTGTGTGTGTGTATGCGTGTACTGTCACTTTAAGAGCTGCATGGATCCAATAGGTGGTTTGCAGTCACGTGATTGTGTTGACGCGCGGAATGCAGATGGAGGGCAAGGAGTGAAGAGCGCAATGGACGCTATTACAAGAGAAATATATCAACAGAAAATTGAGACATATGTTGGACGTGATCCTTACGTTATGAAGAGGACCGATTTTCAACTGAATTGAGAGATTT